TCCCCCCCCCGCCGATGTAGAACTTCCCACTCTCACTGGCCAGGGCAGGTGCTTCCTCTGGGCCTTCCTGCTGGCTACCTCCCTCCAGGACAGAGTCTGACAGGTCCTCACTCGTGCTATCAGGGCCAGGTGGCACAGGTGTGCTGGAGCACACCTCTGAAGGCAGGATGACCACATGGTCACTGGAACAACTGGGACAGGCAGCTATGGGCTCACCAGCTGCTGCAGCATCTGTGGAAGATTTCATCAGGGATAAAGAAAAAGTAGAACAGCTCTCCCCAACAAGATTTTACTTTTTTTTTTTTTTTAAAAAAAAAAAAAAAACTCTGCAAACCACAAACCATCCCTTTCAAAGTAGACAGTAGTTATAGTCCAACTGGAGCAGCTTGTTGAGCAACTCTGTTCAGTATCACATCCTACACACCTCCCCTCACAAATCAACAAGAAATTCTGGATCAGTGCCAACATTCACTTGAAATAACTCTATTCAGATTTAGGGTGACCAATGTGTGCTGTAGGTGCAACCAAAACTACATCAGGGTTTTGGCTCATGCCTTTCCTTCACTTCACGGCCACAAGTCCTTACACAACCTTTGAAGCCCAAGCTCATGACCAGCTTCCTTAGCCACCTCCATCCCCAGCCTGGTTTATCCTCCAGTCAGCCAAACCAGAAGCATGCCATGTCCCTTCTCCAGCTGTCCTCATCCCTCCTGACCCCAGCTCCTGATGCTTCACCCACACCACAGCAGACTCCCAGCTGAATCCTGGGACTCCCACTATCCTGAAGGGGGGTAGGAGAAAGTGTCCCAGGGTGGAAGAAAGTGCTGCAGCCAGGATAGCAACTCTGCCCTCACTACAGTTCTTTAAACCCAGGATACTTCATCAAATGAACAGTATCTTCTGAGCTAAAGCTGGGCACTCACCACTTTGAAAAACTCAGCAATCCAAAGGCACTTATTTAGTACTAGCCATGTCTCAGCCAAAATACCACGTCTAGTTTCAGACACCCAAAGAAAAATTTGGACAAATGGGAAAGAGGACAAAGGAGACAAGCAAGAATAACTGCATTGTATGAGATATGACTGACAAGCAAATTATCTAGGGAGTTGAGTTTATTTAGTCTAGACGGCAGAGGACAGGACTAGTTGTGGGGGGAGAACAATGGCCCTCAAGTACAAAGAAAGGGGTAATTCATTCCCCATAAGGGAAGCAAGAGTGAGATTAAGATCACAGTGAGGGAGACTTAGGTGAGGGTTCCGTCTGTTTTTCTGATGTCTAACAGCCAAAGCTTTACCTGAAATACCGGAGATGATTCCCCAGAAGCCTCTGTTAGCAAAAGCCCTTTAGAACAAAGTGTCAGAACTGACCATAGTTTCAACAGCACAAGAGACTACATGACCTCTAAGGCCTCTCCCAGACTTCAGATTTCTGTGGACCATCTGCAGTTTCCAGCACCTCTGTGTTCTCCCAGACCCCAGGCCACCCACAACAGGAGTGCTGTTTGCAGTGTTACTAAAACAGTGGCTTACTCCTGCCAGTGAAAAAGGCAGGCTCTTCCCAGTCCAAGTGGGCCAAGTGAGAGTACATCCCATAACAGGTTTTAACTCCAGTACAGCCCAAGGCATCACCCTCTTCTATACATGCCATGCTCTGTACCACAGCTACCATTCTGGCAGTCTGCCTGGGCACTAGCAAGCATCCTTTTTCTGGGCACTACATCGTACCTTGATTTGAGGCAACTAGGGTTTCCAGGATTTTGGTGTCGCCAACCTCTGAAGGATAGGAACCTTGATGCCAGGGAGCCAGGGACTGTGAAAACTCCTGTTTGCATTTCAGGCACTGGAGCTTCATGGTTCCCTTCTCCTGGTCCTGATTTCGTCGATTCTCCTCAACAGCCGGGGACAACACTTCAAGGACACACTAAAAGTAGCAGCATAAAGAGTGATAGCAGGCAGCTATAACTGTCCTAATAAGAGCAAGCCTCTGACATCAGCAAGTGTACTCACATGCCTCATTACAGCATTTCAGACTGCAAGGGGTGCAGGGCAATTTCCCAGCTACCAGACTACAACAGCCAGTCTGTGCAAGACTTGCCAAGGGCATGGAGCTTCACCACAGAAGACCAAGAGAACCTGTTTTTGCAGGTCTGTGCCTTGTGTCTACATATTGACACTCTCCCTGAAACTGTGGTCTCAAAGGTCCCAGCTATTTGTGCCTTCTCTGTAACAACTTGTTTAAATGTATTTAAACAACACTACCTTGAGAAAAATACTTGAATTAGAGACCAGAGTCACTACAGCAGCTGTACCAGAGCTGCCATAGCACTGACTCTCTCACTGTCCAGAGGGCTAAGTACAGGCTAGCGCATCACTCAGCACCCAGGAAACATTATGTTGCACACGTGCAACAAGTAACGATCACTAACTTGACTACTAACTTTTCTCCCTCAGAGGGAGAAAACTGCAAGGCTTTCTCCTTGAGAGAACCCTTTATGCTCCAGGAGCTCTACTGCCCATGGTCACGCTCATGGGGCCCTCCACAAGTCATCTGTGCAGCAGGAAAAATCCTGAGCTTACAAGCCAGACATGGGCTGACACAGGGCAGCAGAGGTACACGTGCTCTGAGAACAGGGGCCCTTGTGCTGGCTGGAAGAATTCAGTGTCTTCCATTAACGCTGCCCCCCTCCAGCCTCCTCTACCTGTAGGCACTGCTCTGGGCAGTCGTCAAGCACCACATATTTTCGCTTCTGCCGGTCCTTGCGAATGTAGCTGAAGTGCAATGTGATGACAGGGAAAACTCGCTCCAGGTCCTGTAGGAGATAGAAAACACCAGTGTTAGGAAGAGGGTGAAGCATACAGTATACAGACTACATTTGTTTGCAAGTGGCTGGAACGTGGCCATACAAGCACTTAATTTAGTAAGCCTTGAGTAACCTTCCACAGCTGATAACATTTGGGAGACTGGTAAAATGGGCACAAGAAATAAATAAAAAGAAACAAAGCTCACGAGTGCTGAGGACAACAGTAAGTTTCAAGACCCAGAACAAAGTACCTCAAACAAAACACCTTTTCAAGAAGGTATTTCAGAAGAATATCAAGCCACAAACGTTCAAGAGGTACAAGGGCAGGAAGGAAAAAATGAGTTGGAGCTTTTGGAGAAAACAGCATTAGAGAAGCCTGTGAACACATCCATGCACACACTGAATGTTAAAATCCTACCATGAGGAAAAAGAGATTTTTGAACTCCCTTTCTAAAGAGCCATAAAAGCAAAATAGGGCTGATAGTGTTAAAGCATGCACCTAGAGCAACAGGAAAACCACCCACTAAGATACCTGTAGCTTTCTAAACACTAGGCTCAGTGATGCACTGTCTAAGAAAAAATGCAATTCACAAACAGTCCTCCAAGGCCAGGTGATGTCCCAGCGAGGAATGGATGGGAAGAAGGTATACATTTCATTTAAGCTCCTCTTGAGAAGTCTCTCCTTCCTGTGCACTGGAACAAGTCCAGACATTGTCTTTTTTAACTCCATCTTTGGAACAGAATTGGTGCTGGCTTCTGCTGCATTATCACAAGTACTCTAAGGAATACAGATGCTGTTAGATACACATGCATTGAGTGGAAGAGAAGCTCAATCAACCAGGCTTTGCAGGAGCTAGGAAAAGACCTGCAGGGTACTGAAACAGAAGCCCAAATCCAGAACGCAGGCCCACACAAGGAGTAAGATGCCAGAGGTTCATATAGAGGCATAACTCACCATCCTCTTCCAGTTCATCTCGGAGGTCTCCACCTTCTGTAAGCATTTCAGCTCCAGTTTGTGGAGGACTCTGGCAGCTTTCAGTTCCACCTCAATCACATGCTTAGCTGTGACTCGCAGGAAGATCCAGTCTGGCTCTGGGTCCCCTTCACCTTCTATTTGGCTCACCAGCACTGGCTGGCAAAGGTCCACTGCCGAACAAGACATGGTACAGGTCAGTACACACAGCAGGCCTTCAGGCCTGCTTGGCCCACGTCCTTAGAATTCCCACAATACTGGGCAGCACAATAAAGCTTCAGCAATATCACATTTGATCCATCTATTCTATCATCACCCAAGCCCTCAAATACAGCAGTGAAAGGACCTGTTTACCTTCTGGCTTCTCCTCTTCTTCCTCCCCCAGCATTAGCTCATCTGCCTCCTCTTCTCCTCTCTGTTCTTCCACAGGCTCATCCAGCTCTACTTCAGGCTCTTCCTCCTTCTCAGTATCATCCAAAGGAGGAGAGGATACTTTCTGGGATACCTGGGGTTTTCCTTGCTCTGGGTCAGAGCTCTCACTCTGCAAGTCCTCTGCAGCAGGTCTGCCTGCAATCTCATCTGCAGAACGGCTACGGCACATGACAGGTACTTGGTCATGCTCCTCCAGGTGTCTCTTGTACTGCAGCCAGTCAACACCAAAGCGATCTCTGAAGCTGTCCAAGCGCTTCATCTCCTTCTGATGCTGTAGGACCAGGCCTATGAAGAGAAAACTCAGGAAGTATGAAGATAGTCACCAGGCCAGAGCACTCCTCTTACTGGGGGCGGTTCAGTTGCTGTGTTACTGAGGAAGGAAACAAGCCTCACCAGCAGAGAGAGGTAAAACCCGGGGCTCATGTTCTGTGTCACTGGGCTCTGAAATGCTCGCTCTGCGTACTTTGACTTTTCCCTGGAACAAACAGGATAAGAATAGTTGGGAGGCACCAGAAAAACCAAAACAGCATCTGATGAGGGGCTCTGCCAAGCTGAAGGGTTCATAGCTGTTACAGTGCAGAAACACACCATGAAACATTTGTCACAGTATATTGACTGACATTTAGCCCAGCCCCTTCCTAACACACAGCAGCACAGAGTCTCACTACCACACAGTCAGTACAAAACCGCATCCCACCGCAGGAGGCTTTTATGCCGAGGCAGAGCCCCTTGACCTAACATGGTTAAGAAGTTTTCTCACTCCCAGACCTTGCTTTTCTTCCGAGGGAGCCTGACAGACACATTCTCCGCTGGGGACTGACTGTCGCTGAAGTCTGCAGCACAGGAACTGTCCAGAGCACTGCGGTCCAGTGCAGTCTTCTCTGAGGTAGAAGTGTGGATGGACTGTGACACACTTTGCACAAGTCTTGGAAGGTGCTAAAGCCAAAAGAAGAGAATGCTGCCTGCTGAGTGCAAAGGGGGGACAACGTAACCAAGCTACAAGTCAGGCTGACAACTTCCCTGCCTCTCACCCCAAACGTTCACCATCTCAGTCAAAGTGGTGACAACAGATCCTGCCTGGTTGACCAGATTGTTTATCACAATTTAAATCTCTGATTTAACTCAATCTCTGCCCTTCTTAAAAACAGCAGATGGGAAACTGGTAACTGTTTGTTTTGCTGACATGTAATTGGAGTGTCAAGTACCAGACAGTACCTGAAAAGGAAACAGGCAAGGCTCCAAGTTCTGCAAGGCTACATAGGACAGAATAAGTTACACTGGCCAGTCCCAACAATTACAGGAATCAACATGGAGTGAGCCAAAATTAACTATGTCAAAGAGTAAAGGCAGCCCATACAGATTTAATGGGACACATCACAATGAAAAAACCTGTCAGAGTTCCCACTCCCAAAGCCAGTAAGATCAGTTTACAGCAACAGTACTTACCATTAGGTCTGAGGAAGAGAGTGGCTCCCCATCCAAGAGGAACTGTAATTAGAGACCCATTTGGCATCAGATTCCATTTGCCTGGCACATATTCAGGGCAACATCTGCTGACTCCTGTTCCCCTTCAGGCCACCCTAGGGTTGGGATCCCTGGCACAAAACTGGAAAAACTACCAGAAGCAACCCTGTTCCTGCCTATCCATCACTCTTTTAGTTATAGCTACCTGACCTAATAGCATACAAGGCCAGAAGGGACCACTGTGGTCTTCCTGTTTACAGACTTCACAACTCCCAGAAACGTATCCAAGACAGTTTGCAGAAGAGACAGAACAGATTATTCTGTAACAACTCACACTTTCACCTCAAACCTTGTACCCTGCTTCTAGCCCGAGTCTACGTAGCTTCCAGTAACTTGAGCTCAGTGAAACCTTGTTCCAAGATGCCGTTTGAAGACAATGAATCCAGCCATCTGCCACCAATATGAAGGGCAGACCAGATCTGGAACACCTCTGACCCTTAGTAAGCAAGTTTACTTTGCTAAATTGCCAGAATGATGTCTTTGCTGGCTTCCTTATTTAAAATCAGATTACCAAGAATTGACCTAAGTACCAGAGTGCAAAGGAGACAGTGATGACACCTAGCTGGGAGCAGAGTGATGGGGAGAAAGAAAGAAGTGGCCATGGTTGCCAAAGGAGCATGTAACTAGGCAAGGTGAGCCAAGACAGCAAGTTTCTTCTTTGCAAAGTCCAGCTATATAGTCACTATGTAGCAGGAACAGAGTAAAGTTTTGGGACCATCAGTGAGCAAAACTGATGAAGTAGACAGGGAGGACATATTAAGATCTGAGGCCTTGCAAACCATAGATTAGAATTCAACTCTGTCTGCCCTGGGGAGGACACCACATAAAAATAGAAGGATAAACTACTCTACCCAAAAAAAAAACCCCAAAACCAAAACACAAACCAATCACCACTGTTACACCACTGGAATAAATTTTCAGGTTAATGAATTCTTTCCTCTCAGTTGCCCCCAAGTGTCAGAACACCCTACACCTTCAACAGCAGGGGCAGAAGGCACGTGGTTAATACTCACGTTGGAGGAGGCTGCCCTGGGAGACACATGTACAAGGGTTGCAGACCGGTGGTTTTGATGGAACCATAATGGGTTACCCTCTAAATGCAGCTGGGTGGGAGAAACAGAGAAATTATAATTAGAAACAATATCCTATACCCTGTCCTAATCTGCCTGCAGGCTCCAAGCTTTCTCTCTGCCTCAGGAAATATCCTTGCAGTGGAATGGTGATCAAGCATTTTACAACGCTTCCTCAAATTTGTTCATCAAACAGAGAAGGAAATTGAAATACTTCCTACTCATGCCCCTAAATCATTAAGAGCTTTTCCAGTACTGACTCTGAGAAGTGTTGAGAGAACAGTTCTTTGCAGGCTATCTTCCTTCACAAGCGCTATAGTAAGCAGTTATCCTCCTCCAGACTTCTCTGAACACACAAACCCACAACAGGATTAGGGGAGGATCTTTACTGAACTTGACAGTGTTAAAATTGAAAAGAAGGAGCAAGCGGGTGGGAATGAATACATGAAAAAAAGGTTAGCTTGGGCAGGGGTCACCAAAAATAAAGGCTAAATACAGGTGTCTCTCCAAGGGTCCCCATCAGCTTCCCACACTAAAATTAAATGCTCAAGGATTGAATTGATCTATCAAAATTCTCTTGTTACCACACAGTCTCCACCTTGCCCTCTGTGACCACGACATTTCTAATCTGCTAACCCATGAGGCTTTGTGCTTACTTTTTTTAAATAGTGCAGAGTGGTCAATGGTGCCAACTGGGCATGTTCCAGCAGCAGGTTATAGGCCACATCCAGGTGCTGCAGATTCACTAGCTGTTCAACACCTGTTCAAACAAAGCAAGAATATTACAAGATATAACTTAGGAACCTCCCACATGCCCCTCTCCCCCAAAATTGAATCCTAGTAAAAACAGCTGTGCCCAAGATTTCAAGTTCTGTTCCTCCTCGAGGAAGAGAGAAAGGCCTCAAACTCAGAACTGCTCCTTCGTTGTGGGCTCACCATTAATGCTGTCAAGTTCATTGTTGCGCAGGATCAGAGCCACCAACTTGGATCGGCTGAAGATGCCAAGGTTTGGCACCTTGGACAGGAAGTTATAAGCCAGATTGAGGTACTCTAGTTCAGTAAGGGTCTGTTCAGAGAGAAGAGCAGCAGCGGATCAATTGGGACCTTAGCTCAAAGCCTGACACTGGACTCAAGACAGTGCACTAGCCCCTGCCATTCTGCCCATCCCACCAACGCCACCTAACAAGTGAGTTTGTCAAGACAATTTCTGCAGCAAGACTTCAACATTCACATTAGCAGTGGTTTGTCTAGGGGCACTCAGCATGATCTAACTGCTTTACAAAATTTGCCAGGAGCAGCTTTCTCCTTCCTCATCAACTTCAATGGAGCACAGGAAGGGACTAGACCCCCTGCCTCAGCAAAAGGACTGAACTCCCAAAAGTAGCCCTTTCTTACCTTTCCAAAGATTACAGTGAATGACATATTGTGAGCCCCACCAACTCCATTAAAAGCTGTTTTGTTGCATCTCTTAAAAGAGGCAGATCTATCCCAGCAGAGCCTGGATTTCAGTGCCATTCCCCAGAGATACACATGCCACTGTGATGGACCACCACCTTTCTAAAGTAACTGACAGAACATTTCTGAGAGTGAGAAGGCAATGCTACCGGCAGTCTGGACAAACCAAACAGCAAGTCTCTACAGTCCCATGCCTGGCTACATACTTCCCACCTGCTGCACATATTACAGCAAAGTCTTGGCCACAATGGAGCACACACTACACAGGCAACTGTACGTATATTATACGCTGTATGTATCACTGTATTTAGCACTCAGCCATATGGGAGTGCCAAGTGATACATCCAGATAACTTTCCTGTCTTAGAGGTGATGAGGACCCTTGCCTTCTCTGCCTCAGTGCCACAGGGGCTGCACATACAGGACAACAGTTTCAAAGCTGCAAGAACTAGCTCTAAATCACATGCCTGCTGGGCCACATACCCAATTTCTTTCGTTATACTTCATCTAGCAAGCACACGGTCAATGATTACAGCACTTTAGCAGTGTCCTCTCCGTACCAGGAAGCTCCGGTGCTCAGCCCAAGATACTCACCATTAAATAGTGCTCACAATCCTGGATCTTGTTGTGACTCAAATCCAAGATCCTCAGAGCATTCAGTAATTGCTGACGGACAGAAAGATACTAGATCAGATCCTACAAATGTCTCCACTGCAGCATGGAAACCCTGTTCTGTTGGGAGAGGCCAGCAAAATTAACACTGCCTACTCCCTTCCCACCCAGACCTAGCAGCATCAGTGAAGGAGTGCCCAGTTCTTGGCTGTCATCATCTCTCTTCCCCTCAGTCATGCAGGAAGGATGCCCCACTCACCAGTGAGTCATCCAAGGCAGTGATGGAGTTATAGCTGAAGTTCACGGTCTGCAGTTCCAGCCAAGGGAGAGCACAGCTCAGATCTCCACCACATGCTGAAATGATTTCCTAGGAAGAAGCGAGGAGCCATTCCTTGGTGAGTACTAGCTGTTACAGTAACAGCAGATGAACACAGGAGAACAGCTTGTCTAGAACAAGGCTGGCATGCTGTGCCTTACAGACCCTGCCTTGCCTGGAGTGGCAGTGACTTTTATGTCACCAATTCAAGTATTTGGAGGTGATGGCAATTCCATGCCTAGATATTTAGAAAGAAAGGGCAATGCTTTTGCTTCCTACACTCAAGCTGCAATAGTTAACCTAACATTACAATTCATAGACTCTGAACGCTAAGCACAAAGATTCATGCCAACAAAACCTTTTTCAGACCTCCATCAAACCACAGACCCAGAAGAAAGATACACACACTCTGGCCAAACAGCTTGTGCTCTGGCAGGCAATACAAGCTCTCAAAGCACTCCCTACCAGCAGCCCCTATGCCCCAGCAGGCAGCTGCTTCTGTGCCACAGACAGAAGCCCAGAGCTCCACAGTTGGCACAGCCCATGCTACTCAGTTCTCCGTGGTTGGAGCTTGCCTTTATGTCTCAGAAACCCCCTGGGCAGCAGTGCAGATAAGACACTGGGGCACAGCATTCCCTCTGACAATCAGCTCTAATTTACGACTGCTGAGTTACAATAAAATAAACTTCGATCAGCTGCAGGCCTCTGAACGTTGAAACCACCAGAGACATAAAACAGTCAGACCTAGCTGATACAAATATAGGCTGGAGCCAGAAGCATCTAAAAAGGTGACTACAGAGCATGTGTATCCAACCAGGGAATACCGCAACACTGTTTGAGCCAGGAGTAGGACCCCAGAACAGGAAAGGGAGAAAAAGCCATATACAACATGGATAGATAAGATGGTTAACATTGTCTCCTACACCCTTCCTGCATGAATGGTTGTAGGATCAAGACAGCCTTTCTCCTGCAATTTCTCCCATGAGCTGTATAGAGACACTCACCTCCAGCGTACTGATACATTTGCAACATGTTAGAGATTCCAGCTGAGAATAGACAAATCGCAGTCCCCGGAGGCAGTGTGGAGGGACAGACCTCAACTGCAGCAGAGGTGAGAAAGCAAGGACAACATACATCAAAATATTACAGTGTAAGAGTAGCTGCCATCCCAGGCTCATCTCTGCAAGGGATCTCTCATTTCGCTGCTGGAGCCTCCCTCCCTCCCTAACGTTCCAGCCCTTGCTCATATCCAAGCTTCACCCCAAGCAAGCATTGCAGGAGTTTAGACTTAGCTTTCTAGGAAAACCACAAAAGTCTACCCAGTTTTCAGGAGTACAGGCACTCTGTAACCACAAAACTAAGTCAGGAAAAGCCAAACAGCAAGACACAAAGCCAGTTTTGCCTTCTATACTTACTTCCAGATGCCGGAGGGACTTGAAAGGGAAGATCTTCACAGCAGATTGCAAAACACGGTTTGGAACATGAATGAGCTAGAGAAATGAGAAAAGAAGTCTCATATCAAGCTCTATTTGTGCCACAATACAGCCCTCGTGATGCACCAACTGCAGCACCTTGAACAGCGCCCCCATCCAGCTCGGCTGTTCGCTAACAGGCTCTCCCCCCATGCTTGCCCTCTGGCCCCACAGTTCAATAGAGGTCAAAGAGAAAAGCGTATGCGCTTGCACAAGACCACAGCCTGCCAGACCATAGAGCTCCTTTCCTTCTCCCCTGCCCACGCAGCTTCACTGCTTTCAGAACCACAGGGAGGTCTGACAGCTGGATTCCTCATCAGTCACCACTAACAAATCTACTAAATAAAGACAAATTTAACCACTGAATCTATGTTTATCAAGCAATAGAGCTGAACTAGCACACTGGTGGGATGTGTGCATGTTCACTAGAACAGGCCAAATAAGGTAAATCACAAGCAGGTACAATGGAAGACACAGTTGGTCTCCAAGACACTGTCAGCATTAGACTCAGGCTCCTTTACCACAGGGCAGTTAGGCTCTGTCCATGTACCCCAAAGGAGCTTATTAAATCCAACTTCTTATGCTTTCTATGGACAGTGCATAAGCAGTATCTCAGGTGAAGTGAGTAACGAAGTAGTTAACGCTCCCACTGCGGACACCAGAGTACAACTGGAGAAACCATCTCTGCCAGCTACATCCACATTCACGCAGAAGTGACTCATCAGGTGCGGAACAGACATCCCAAGGCCCCATCAGCACTACCACTTCCACAGCTCCAGCCCTGGTGGCAATGAATCACTGCCCTGTGGCTTGCCAGCACTAATGCAGCATGTTGAACAGGACCATTTGCAGGGGAAGCTTGCACTGGGAAGCTCTGATGATCAGTTTTAGCGAAGTTTATTACAGATGGCATCCTTGCTCTGTGTTCTGACCCCCTCCTCTCCCTCTGCTGTCTTAAGAATCTGATCAGGCTGATACAAATTATTGGTTTCTCCAAGCAAATCAGTTACTACACCACAATGGGTAGCTTCCCCTTCTTTACAGGGTTGTTACAGAAAGAGCCCATTTTTTGCATTAATACAAGCACTCACCACAACATCCTCCCGACGGCAGTGTCCATCCCTGTCTCCTCCTGCCAGGGCACCTGTGTTTCTCCACAGGCTCTGGGCCCCACTCCAATCTCCATCCTCAGCACACTGCTACAAAACCCTCCCAACAACATTCAGATAATCGTTCCAATCTGTCTCATACAAAAAACATTTTAAAGACATCACAGGCTGTAGTGCTCAGCCACAACACCTCCTGAGCACCACTGTGGGACCTAAGAATAGCTGCCAACTCCCCTTCCTCTTTCAGGCCCATTTCACCTCTACTACCCTCCTAGCAGGGCCTCAGCACCGCGTATAATCATGTGCTGCCTCGTAGCACATGCCGCCTTTCAAAAAGCCCTCTAAAGAATCCCTAACTCTGTACTTTTATCTCTATTACAGCCTTCTTAAAATTAACAAGGACACATTACCAGCAATATCCCACACTGTGAAACAGATCAACCAGAACCACTGCCCAGGCAGGAGCATGTAAAACTCAGAAATAAGAAGCAGGAGGTCTCAGAGTAGCAGGGGCAAATACCCCAGCTCTGCTGCCTTGTGCAGCTAAATCATCACTCAGGGAGGACTCAGCTGTGCTCAGCTGCCAGCTACTGCCTGAATTGCTCAAGCATTTCAGGAAATAATCATTTTCCCAACAATGTCAACAGCTTAACAAGGTCAGAACATAATTAACCCCTGCTGCCACAGTTTTTAACTCTGAAAAACTTTCTGCGGAGTTGCAGGGCTGATCCTATATGAAGCAGCTACACAGTATCATGCTGAACTGACTTAAGGCAACAGCCCTGCCAGAGCTACCTGATCCGTGTAGCACGAAGAGATCAGTGGGCACCAAAGGAGGCCGCTCTGCA